CCATATTAAGATTTGGGGGTCCATCTTAAAAGGTCAACCTTATTAAGAGGAGTAGCCCAAGATCTTTATTAATTGGTCTGTGTCAACATCTTTATTCGATGTGGGATTATATCCCTTAACAATAACAAGATGAGGATACTATACTAGGTTGTCTTGACATATGAAAAGTTGGACAAGATGCAAATGAATTAGAAAGAAGATTTCACACCTATGCACGCTTAAGAGATAAATCATTATAGAATTTTCAGAAAATTAATACTGGTCTTAGATTATTACAGAATTTTCAGAAAATTTCGATTCATGAAATCAAACAGGCATGATGATTGTGGTTCTCTTTCCATTTAATCAATGGCTGCCTTTTGTTTTTTCAAGTTCTTGCTATTCCTAAAATGTTGAGAAGAACTTAAAGCCTTTATGAACATAACCAGCTCTTTGCAGCAGTCTGCAGCTATTTTCTACTGTTTTGTTACCTAATAATGCTCCTTTATTTTCCTAATTTATTTTCCAGGATCGTTTGCGCGTTTGTTTATTGGCATATAAGGCAGCATTCAGGTTTATTGATGGTATATCTCTACTATTGATATCTTGGTTTTATTTCTAAGTCTTGTTCCCTTCATTAGTACTTAATTTTCTTCCTTGCACAGCTGGTGGGCAAGGTAACCAATTTACCTCTGAAGAGGCTATAGACTCCTGGGAAGAAGATATTCAAAATGAACTCCAAGAAGAGGCTAGAGAAGCAGGGTTTCAAATTCACCCAGATAAACTTGCTTCTCTTGTTGCTTCTTACGACATCACGACCTTAAGAAAACTCAAAGGAGTTGAAGGACTTGCAAGTCGATTGAATGTTACATTGAATGAAGGAGTTGAATCAACTAGTATACCTATCAGGCAAACTATTTTTGGCTCCAATGAATACACTGAAAAACCTTCCAAGAGTTTGTGGATGTTCGTGTGGGAGGCTATGCATGATATAACACTTATAATCCTTATGGTTTGTGCTGTTGTCTCTATAATTGTGGGACTTCCCACTGAAGGTTGGCCAAAGGGAATGTATGATGGTTTAGGAATCATAATTAGTATTTTCTTGGTTGTCATGGTTACTGCAGTTAGTGATTACAAGCAATCACTGCAGTTTAAGGAGTTGGATAAGGAGAAGAAAAAGATTTTTATACATGTCACTAGGGAAGGGATTCGACAGAAAGTCTCCATACACGACTTGGTAGTCGGAGATATTGTTCATTTATCAATTGGAGACCAGGTTCCAGCAGATGGAATATTCATATCGGGCTACAACTTGTTGGTTGATCAGTCGAGCTTGACCGGTGAAAGTCTACCAATAAATATATATGAAAAAAGTCCTTTTCTTTTAACTGGAACGAAAGTTCAGGACGGGTCGGGTAAGATGCTGGTGACTACAGTCGGTATGAGAACTGAATGGGGTAAGTTAATGGATACTCTAAGCGAAGGAGGAGAAGATGAGACCCCTTTACAGGTGAAGCTCAATGGCGTTGCCAGTATTATTGGTAAAATCGGACTGGCATTTGCCGTGACGACTTTTCTAGTGTTGATCATCAGATTTTTGGTGGAGAAAGGACGACTTCATGAACTTACGAAATGGTCTTCCAGTGATGCTGTAACAATTTTGAATTACTTTGCTACTGCAGTGACTATAATTGTTGTTGCAGTTCCAGAAGGACTGCCCCTGGCTGTGACACTAAGCCTTGCTTTTGCAATGAAGAAATTACTGACCGAAAAGGCGCTAGTGAGACATCTCTCTGCATGTGAGACAATGGGTTCTGCTACTTGTATTTCAACCGATAAAACGGGGACACTGACTACGAACCATATGGTGGTGAATAAAATATGGATATGTGGGAAAGAGAAAGGGGTAGATAGTAATACAGATAGGAATGGCTTAGATTCAGATATATCAGGAAATGTATTAGCCATTCTCTTGCAGGCAATATTTAATAATACAGGATCCGAGGTTGTCAAGGATAAAACTGGAAAGCGAACTATTTTGGGGACACCAACAGAATCAGCATTGTTAGAGTATGGATTGCTTCTAGGTGGTGATTTTGATGATCATCGCCGGGAGTGCAAGTTGTTGAAGGTCGAACCGTTCAATTCACACAAGAAAATGATGTCCACTCTCGTGGCTCGTGGAAATGGCAAAATGCGAGCTTTTTGCAAAGGTGCATCTGAGATTATACTGAAAATGTGTGACAATACCATTGATTCCAATGGTGAAGCCTTTCATTTGTCAGAAGAACATGTACGAAATATAACGAATGTCATCAATGCATTTGCTGGTGAAGCGTTGCGTACTCTCTGTTTGGCTTTTAAGGATATTGAAGATGATTTTCAAGAAAATAGCAGCATTCCTGATCGTGGCTATACTTTGATTACAGTAGTGGGAATCAAAGATCCAGTTCGCCCCGGCGTAAAGGAAGCAGTTAAAAGTTGTTTAGAAGCTGGAATTTATGTGCGAATGATCACTGGCGATAATATTAACACGGCTAAAGCAATTGCTAAAGAATGTGGCATTCTTAATGATAATGATCTTGCTGTAGAAGGTCCTTATTTTCGCAGTGAAACTCCAGAACAGAGGAACGAAATGATACCGAAGATTAAGGTGGGCAAACCCTATCTTTATTAGTCCATAGAAATAATATGTGAAACTTATAAATTTTGGTCTCAAATGTTTATATCATGGATGTAGGTTATGGCTCGGGCATCACCTATGGACAAACATGTTCTGGTGCAGACGTCAAGAGACGTGCATAAAGAGGTTATTGCAGTCACTGGTGATGGGACCAACGACGCCCCTGCTTTACATGAGGCAGACATTGGATTTGCCATGGGCATAGCAGGAACCGAGGTATGTCCGTGTGTTTATTTTGCTTCACAGATTGATTGTCTTTTATATGTCTTTTCTCGTTGAATATGATTCCTAAGTGTCAATAAAAATCATTTTCAGGTTGCGAAAGAAAGTGCCGATGTAATTGTGATGAATGACAACTTTACGACAATTGTGAACGTGGCAAAATGGGGACGTTCTGTATACATAAACATTCAAAAGTTTGTGCAGTTTCAGTTGACAGTTAATATTGTTGCTCTTATGATTAATTTCGTATCTGCATGCATCTCAGGTACTACTTTTGTCTTAATACCACATTAGCAAACGAGTGGATAAAGAAGACCCTGTTGAGCTCGACTCTACTCTAGTTTGACTTTATCAAATGACAAGATTATTATTTACTTTGTTTACCACTTTCAGGATCAGCTCCCCTTACAGCAGTGCAATTGCTTTGGGTCAACCTAATTATGGACACTTTAGGTGCACTTGCACTGGCCACTGAACCTCCACATGATGGACTGATGAAGAGGCCTCCTTTTGGAAGGAATGAGAGTTTCATTACAGCCCCCATGTGGAGAAATATCATTGGTCAGAGCATTTATCAACTGGCAGTTCTTTTAGTGCTAAATTTTGATGGGAAGAAAATATTGGGACTTGAAGATTCTGATGCTACAGCACTACTAAATACTTTCATATTCAACACCTTTGTGTTTTGTCAGGTAATAAATATTTTTTAATTTAATTGATTCTTGGGATTTAACTCAACTTTTCCGCAGTCTATGTTTGCATTTTCATCTCATGAAAATTCCAAGTAGTTTCAACATATAAAAAGGAGTTAACCTGTCCTCAATCTTTCATAATAGATGAACAATTTAGTCCCATAGCGTCGAAACCTTCCAATTCGTTGTTTAATCGTACATGACCCTAATGGAAAAATTTCTCACATCAAATGTTTTGGCTCCATCCCAAGATCGAAAACACTCACTAGCATTGTAAAGATGAATACGTGAGGTTCACATGCCGATATATTAGAGACTTGAACGATTTTGACTTTTGAGAACTGATTGTGCAAGTATAATGAAATGTTGAACACTAACTTAGCCCTTAACCAACTTACTACTTGAGCAATCGGTCGAGGACCAATGGTGCAACTATCCCCTTTTTTTGTACATTCTCGCCCTCCCATATTTCACCATTCTTGTGTTCGTAAAATAAAGAAAAACTAGTGTTTGGATGGTAATGACACGTTCAATGTGTTGTTAGACTGAACAAGATTAAGAAAGAAAGATATGTCCAGTAATTGAAGAACATATAGATGGATTATTTTTACCACTAAATGCAGGTTCATTTCTGACAAATTTTGTTTTGTTTGGTTTTAATTTAGGTCTTCAACGAAATAAATAGCCGGGAAATCGAGAAGATAAACATTTTCCGCGGGATACTTAGAAACTGGATATTCACAGGAATCATTGCATCCACAGTCGTATTCCAAGTAATTATAGTTGAATTCCTGGGCAATTTTGCCAGTACTGTTCCATTAGGCTGGCAACTATGGATACTCAGCGTAGGACTTGGAGCAGTAAGCATGCCAATTGCTGTTGTTTTGAAATCCATTCCTGTTAACAAGAAGTCTCCAAATTCTACACAGCATGATGGTTATGATCCTCTCCCGACGCCAGGTCTCGAGTGAACTTACCAATCTTCAAATAAAACATAGTAAGTGCGTATTATGTAATAACGTTCGCAGAGTGAATTAATATGACAAAACTAGACAATATCCGGATAGTTTAGCACGACGTACCAAACATGCTTTTACTTTCCTCTTAGGATTTGAGTTTCTTGTCTGTATATTTGTGTGTTTATAATCCAAGTCACGATTTGAGTCCTGAATAAATATTCAGATGCTTCCTCTATATTAATAGAACTCTCATATTGTGTACTTTTTCTTGAATGACTACTCCCAAGTAATTTTGTTGTCTTTATAAGATAATTATATGTGGTACTCTCTCAATCTTATTTATATAAGTTGACTCTCTTTATTTTATATTCCCTCCGTCCCATTTATATAAGCTGACTTTCTTTATTAAGAATGTTTTGTTTTGTTCGTTTACTAATATACTCTTATTTAATNCGGTCCAGAGCTCACTTGAATGGTTCTCACTTGAATGGTTTCTTCAAATAAAAAATAGTAAGTGTGTATTATGTAATAACGTTCGTAGAGTGAATTAATATGACAGAACTAGACAATATCCGGATAGTTTAGCACGACGTACCAAACATGCTTTTACTTTCCTCTTAGGATTTGAGTTTCTTGTCTGTATATATGTGTGTTTATATTCCAAGTCAGGATTTGAGTCCTGAATAAATATTCAGATGCTTCCTCTATATTAATAGAACTCTCATATTGTGTACTTTTTCTTGAATGACTACTCCAAGTAATTTTGTTGTCTTTATAAGATAATTATATATGGTACTCTCTCAATCTTATTTATATAAGTTGACTCTCTTCATTTTATATTCCCTCCGTCCCATTTATATAGGTTGACTTTCTTTATTAAGAATGTTTTGTTTTGTTCATTTACTAATATACTCTTATTTAATTTGTCTAGTTATACTAATAGCTGTTGATAATTAAATAAGAGTAAACTAGTAAAATTTTCGACAAAAAATTGATTTTTCAATAACAGTAAGGGATCCATTTAATTGGTTTAAATTCCATGAAAAATATCACATCCAAGAAATTCAATTTCTACTTTGACTATTTCATACGAAAGTGAAAATAAAGTTCAAATTCTAAGATACAACCACTTTAAGCTTATTTTTTTGTCAATTTCATGAAAAATACATGCAAAAGGGGTACTTGAATTTTTATTTTTCAATTTACATGAAATTGAAGAGTCTTTCCACACATGCCAATCAAACGAACCCTAACTTGCTTGTTTCCCAATATTTCCAAAATATATTTCACTCTCATTTTCAATCACATTTTCTAATAAAATAATATTATAAGCAAATCCAAAACTTTTTAATTTTTAACCACACATTCTCCGTCAAATCACTATTTCAAAATGCATTTTTGGCTAAAAATAGGACTCAAACAAACTCTAAATAAATTCTTTTAATCCACGTTGAAAACAAAATCAACCTATATAAATAGGAATATACAAGAAAATCACAAGTCCCCATAAATGTCATACCCTTATGCAGCATGTCCCAACCCATAAACTTCGTACCCATATGCACCATGTCGCAATCTTCAATGTCTCAACCAATATCGTATTTAATTTTCGACAACCAATTTCAGGCATAGTTGCAAATCTATGAAAATACCTCAGTAGCCTCTAAATCTGAACATGTCATTAAAAGACAAACCATCCAATAAAATCCCAGAACAAAGCATCATGGACTCAAATGGTCAAAAGAAAAAATCATTGAATAAATATCAAGAAAGAACTACTTAATCTCCTCTCCCCCCTCTTGTACAATAAAATTTCTCGACCTGCCAATCGCTTACAGTAAAAAAAGGCACTACAAATTACAAAAGATCATTTGTACCTACGCTTGGATTCTCCATAAGCAACGACCCCCATAACGGTCATAGAATATCCAGCAATGCCAATGAAGGTAACAGGATTTCGGAAAAGGAGTATTGAAATGACAACGGCCACAGCTCCTTTTGCATTGCCCAATACCTGATCATAATTCAGACCATAGAAAAAGGTTCAGATAAAGGGATTATCAAATATATAGATAATTACAGTACTTGACGATTTCTGCAAAATATTTTGACTTACTTCTATAATTACACTCGTGATATCCATTTTTCTTCAAATTTTATTACTTTCACTCTAGACTAGATACTTTACGAGCATCAGACATACCCATACCCAAAGTCAAGAGTCTTGTTACTGAATTCTTTTTCTTTTGATCACAATGTTAATGAATTCTGGGGCCGGCTCCTAAATTCGAATACTCAACTTAGATCCAAACCTGTATAGATTCTTATCTATGAGTCGCAGCAACCAGATAGAGTCAAACAACAGACTGTCTAATTCCCTGTATGTGTAGGATTATAAACATAATCTTCTTTGCCCACACCTTAAGGTTCATTTTATTTCATTTATGCCTATCAAATGTAGTTTAGCCGCCAGAAGAAATAAATGAATTGCTACTTTTTATTTGAGAGAGAGAGAGAGGAGGACCTGGAGTGTCAATGCACTCGTATGCTTTGTCACCAAGAAATTGCATAAGTTGGCTCCATAAGCCATTGATGAATTAAGCAAAAGTAGTACCCACATGAATTTATGTTCCAATGCAAGTGATATAGTTACATCCCACACGTTGGGCTCCATTGCAAGTGCTGCAGGAAGTAATACAACGACAGCAATGGGGGACATATAAAGTAACAAATTCATGGAGTTCAACTTTTCTCTGCAACAATGAGAGTACGTTATATTGGCCAATCGTGAGCTTGAACTTTAGTGTGTCAGATATATCGAGGAGTAATTTCGATTTCTAATACTACAAATGATAAAATAATTTAGCAGTTCTAAATGTCCACCAAATCAAAGATGAAGAAAACAAAATTCAGCAATAAAAGATAGTTCATTGCTTCTCATTCACATTCTGTCATTCTCCATGAAGATGAACAGAAATAGAGCTTGAAGTTGTTCGTACTACGAACAGGAAATAATAACGATGCAACTAGAGCATGATTGGCGCATAAATCAATGTTAACTTTAAGTTGCTTATATTGGCAAACATGATATTAAAAGTGGCTATTCTTTATTAACAAAACTCAATTTCTGGAAAATCGTAACTTGATGGAAAAGTAACTTCTAAGCACAGCCAAACATGTTTGTGATAGTATATACACATATAGCCGAATATTTACCCTTCACTAGAAAGCAGGACCCCCTGAAGAACAGACTTAAAAGCTCTTGCTGCAGTAGCGCTTATGCACATGATAAATCCATACAAATGGAAGCTTGGCTCACCCTGCAAACAACTAAAAACTTTTGGATCTTGCAATTTTACAAAAGTAGACATCGTGTTAAGTGAATTTGTTGACGAATATATAGTTGAACAGATTAGGTCACATACTCACAGAACATTTACTTGCTTAATCATAGATTTTAGAAGAAAAGTTAAACTCGTAATCTTTTACGCAAATACATGGCATTAGAGCTGGACAAACTCTTGAACCGAACCGACCAAAATGGACTCAACTCGAACCGAATCGAGCTGTTCTTCTTAAATTAAATACCGGAACAGATATCTGAATCAAGAACCGATGGGTTTGGTTCGATTCTCGATTATAGACTCAGAACCAAATATCCCTAATTTTTTTTATCATGAATAAGCCAAATTATTTTATTTTTTAAAAATAAATTTGCTAACTAATTAATTTAGCCCAAACTCAAAATATGATTTTCCTATTTCTAATTTCCAGCCCAAGTACAATCAATCAAATTGACCAAAATTTTACACAAATCTCTTATTCTACCGTAATGTTATTTCTGCCTGAAGAAATCGAATTGGAAACCCTCTTTATTATTGTGAGTTTGCTATCTTCCTCTTCCAGTGATTTTAACTGCCAAATCTATGGAGGACTCAACAAATAGAGATACAAAAGATATCATGAAATTAGACTACGTTATTTTGTAAAAAGTAAAATTGAATATGTCATTAATTGAATTAATGTAACGTTGTAAATATCAAAAAAATTAATTATTGTACAGAACTCGAGAACTGAATGGAATCGGACCAAATCGAACCGAACAGAACCCGAACGGTTCCAAATTAAATTTGGAACCAACAATTCCATTTGCTAAATACCCGAAAATTCGGGTTCGGTGAGGTTCTCCTCAAAATCAAACCGAATCGGACTATGTCCAACCTTACATAGCTAGTGTTTGGCCCCCACTAATTTTTTTAAAATTTTTCTCTTTCTTAATTTTAAGAACACATTCTTCAAATAAAATAATATTACACGCAAATCTAAAATATTCCATTATCTTTCAACCACACATTCTCCCATCAATCACTATTCCAAAAATTTACAGCCTGTCTGTGTGGGCTAAAAAACTGGATTAAAATTACTTTTATGACCGTTAAAAGGAGCAACGGTTACATTTCCACAGATTGCGGCTGCCCTTGGTGAGAAACGGTCATAAGCCAACGGTTGAAAAATCAATTTTCAAAATGTGAAAAGCCCTCCCAGACAGGGTCTTAAAATTTCTTCAAAATGGGGCCAAACACTAGCATAGCATTATAGTGTGGCAAAGAAACTGTATTCCTCAAATATTTGCAAAGATCACGAGAACTCTTAGCACGTCCCATGGTCTGGATTTCACAACAAATTTTCACATATATAAGCATGGCAACGAGTATAATCTCTTCAAAATTTTCAAACTTCATGTTATAATTGTAATTGGAGAAGGTCATCTACATTCTATTTTACCTCTGATTATGCCAATGTTTGTAAGTTCATTACTTTAAATTCAAATATTAACACCAATATTTTAGATCTGATATTCATTTCTGCAACAGGCAATCTAAAATAACGCAAGCAATAAACAACCTCAGAAAAACAATACCCACCAAGAAAAATTGGATCTTTTCCATATAGATCACCAGATCACAATAGAAATATCATAATAAAGCGGGATATCTTAGTTTCACACATGAAAATCAGATCTTCTTATATGTTACCCAAATTAATAGAAAAATATAATTAAAAAACAATCTGAATATACAAAAATTAATCTTTTTCACACAGAATTAAACCCAAATCAAGTTAAAATTAATTGAAAATTAAAAATCAGTTTAATCCCAAAAATTCAGAGAAAAGAAAAACGTACCCCGCTTGCAATGACAACCCCGGCAACCACAGGCACAAGACAAGCATAAGTAACCCAAGCCTCCCTTTTAAGGGTCATAAAATAAGCAAACAGTGCAGTGAAAAATGGAGTGGTTGCACCCACAGCCTGATTAAAGGACACCGGCAAAAATTTTAAGGAAATATTACCACCCACAACAGACCCACAAAATACGACGCTTAGAGTTGCAATCCGGAAGAACTGGGACCTTGATTTGATCCTCTGTAGTGGCACTACTTTCAAGAAAACAATGGAGATGTAGCTGAGGATAGCACATGCTGACATATGGCACATAGTGAGGAAGATTGGGAAGGCAAATCCATAATTGGATAGCAAAAATTTGTTGAGGAGGAGGACTCCAATGTTTGTAGAGTACCATAGAATTATCAAACTGGATATGAAAATTACATCTTTTCTTGATGTTGAGGATGAAGATAATGCCGACATTTTTTATGTTGGATTCTTGGATTTGTTGTTCGAAGGGGTGTTTTCATTACCTTGATTTCATTTGGTACTGCGATGGGAGGAGGAGGGGGAGGAGGAAGAAGAATAGTAGGTGACAGGTGTCTTGTTTTTTGTGTTTATTTCTGTGTATTTTATTGGTCATGTATTCTTGGAATTTAAGGTCGAAAAAACAGTGTGTGCGTGTGTCCGCGTGACAATAGGAGTGAAATTGGGGTTCTTTATATGTAAATTTTTAATATGGTTTTTTTATTTGTAAATTTTGACTATGTTTTTTTGGGACTTTTTTAGGGAGGGTGGGTGAAATTTCTATGTAGACGAATAGCTATCGGAATTCACGATAAGTTCAAAAGTACTTCGGTCATGTTTGATACAAAGCTTTTTTTATGGAAAACATTTTCCATTTTCACCTTTTTGTTATGTTTGATAAGTTTTTTTTCCCTTTCACGTGCACACTTCTTTGGTTTTGTAGGAATAATTTTTCCACCTTTTTAGTGGAATTTGAAGTTCCAGTTTTTTTTTTACAATTGGAATAAATTTCATAACAAATTGTTAAAAAAATATCATTTTAATGGACAATTTTCATGTAAAATAAAGTCAAACGAACCCTAAATTTTG